TGTGTGTGTGTGTGTGTGTGTGTGTGTGTGTGCGGGTGCGGAATACGTATATCATTTCCTTATTCCTCTGCTTATTTTCATGGAGTCGATATACTTATTATGCCCTCTGAATGAATAGATTCACATGTTTCCATAGATGTCCATTAAATGCTAACAAACTTTCCAGACATTTTTATTAAATCATTTATCTGCATCCTTCTCGTTTCTCTATTTTCGTCTCCTTTTTTTTACTTTATTGTCATCGAGAACCTTTTCTTTCTCTCTTCCTCATTTTCCTCTTCGTTTTTCTCTTTTCACTTTTCCTCGTCCCTCTCGTTTTCCTCTTTTCCTTCTTCCAAACAAGCAAGCAATTTCAAATTTTGCATTCATTCTTTGGTGCCATTAATACTTCGTCTGTTCGCTTGTTTTTTGTTTGTTTTTTTTTTTTTCTTGATCTGTCATTCTATTCTTTTTAATCGGCGTTGTTGTATGTTTATTTATCATTTAGTTATGTCATTATTGTAGTTAGCATCATTTGTGTTGCAATAAAAACAGATATGTTTATGTTGTTATTGGTTTGTGATGGTGCAACAGTGTAATAGCAATATCGTTAGAAATTTGCATATTGTTTGAATTTTAATGGAATGTGTACTTTATTAATGGATTGCATTATAATCGGTGATTAGTCATTAAATTGGTCAGTTAACAAATCGGAACACTTTCGTAGCGCGTGTTTTTGTGTGAAAGTGTAAGATTTTTTGTTTTATCAAGGAAAGAATGTTCATTAAGATTGTTTACATTAGTGATATTCTTGTTTATTTATTATTCTATCCCTTTTTTCCCTCTGTTCTATCTCATTCTTCGTTATATTAATGCTATTATCATAATTTCTTTCGAATTCTACTTAAAAATTTAAACTGATAATGATTTTTCCATCCTATAGATCATAACGATATCCATCGACTGTAATAGCAACAGTAAAGCAATTGCTGCTATAATAGCAATAGCGCAATATAAAGCTTATAAACAAACAATAGCTTGAATAAATGATTTGGGTGAAAAAGAAAGCGACAACAATATCGACAAGAGCAGCAGCTCGTTATTTCACGACACTTATCCTTCAACTGTACATATTATTGACCATATCTGTGGTAAGCTCTTTTTTTATCATTCATATCTATTTGCTTATTCATAATTTTCAGGGTACCATTTATTTTCATCACATTAAAGAATCTGATTTCAAGCCAAATCGTTACTACACGTGTACCGCTGAGAATACCAAACTTAGAGATTACAAATTTGGTAATCAGTTTCGCCTCGATGTCACCAAAAATCGTCGACGAGCATGTAAAATTTTCGTTGTTTTATTTTATTTTTTCTCTACATTTTTCCTTTTGATTTTTAAAATTTTCATTAAATTTCTGATTGGACAATCTTATCGTGGTATGTAGAATGGCAACGATTAGATAGCAGTAGTACTGGATAAATGTGAAATTTTTTCGGTAAGTTAAATAAAAACTATTTATTATGTTAATCAAACAACTAAGGCTAAGAAATTTGAACTAGATTTCTAATTTGCCGAATCAGTTAAATTTAAACAGCTTAATAATTGTCATCATGGAAATTCTTTCAGTAAAGTTACTAAATCTGATTGTAAAAATTGAAACATAAATCTGCATTGCACTAAAGTTACCAGATAGTCTTACTGATTGTTGTAGTGAGATTGCATAGAACAAGAGCAAAATAAATACTGTTGAAAACGAAAGATGATTTAATCTAACGGATGTAGGTTTTTAAAATGTAAAAATTTATTTCATGTCAAAGCATAAAATTAACAACCAACAATCACAAAACATAAATACCATTTTGATTTATCACTTTCCTCATAGTTTTTTTCCAGATGTCTTATCCTTAACTAACTCTATCTTTAATATATTACAGCCGAACATGCATTATCCGTTTTGAATACAAAAACAAAAGCGAAAAGTAATTTGCACCGTAATATAAAAATAAAAAAAAATAAAGCTTTACACCTCAAAATTTTGTCATTTTTTTTGTGACGGAAATAAATAATTGTTTTTAGCTTGTGCCTTACTCAAAATTGTAATTGGCCATTTTCCTGAGACATAATAGCACTAATAACTTTGTCAAATATTCTGTGACTATTATCTGAATGTAATTTCCGTTTCTTTTCATTTTTGAGGAAATACTTGGTAGAATATGGCATGTAAGAATATTGATATTGTAATTTAATTTGTAAAATGTTAGTCGATTTTTTTATGAAATAGTTACCTTGAATTTTATCTTTTCTTTTGGATCAAAAAGAATTTTTATGTTCTTTTATATCACATATTATGTACAGCGAGTTTATTGTGCAAATTTTCAATTTCATAGTTTTAAGATAGTTTTTCACCGAGTTTAACCTTCAAAGTTTTTTCAGTTTTTGTGTACAAATTTTTTTCGTAATTGATTTTTTTTAATCGAATAATAATGGCTTAGTGGTTGGTATTTGAGGAGAGAAAGGCCGAAACACGTTTTTAAAGAAAGTAGTGCTACTTGATGTATGTTACACTAAGGAGTCATTTGTTTCTTACCGATTTTCAAAAGGATAAAAAGATGACAGATGTTATTTTAAATTGGTTAATTTTAATGTCCTTATTGACGATTGATTTGCGGTCGATTTTGCTATACTTTAACTGGAAATTTTCCCCTACATGTTGAAATTTAAGTTTCAGTCTTTATTAGCTTAATTTTCTATGATTTTATCTCCCATAGTTTTTTTTTTTTCGGAAGGAGTAAGGAGTGTAATTTTTTCTGGTTATAGAAATTACAATTTTAAGCGGTGATTTCCATTATAGTGGGAGTTGGAGTATTACATAAAATTTATTAGCTATATTTTGAATTCGGAAAAAAAGTTTGATCAGGTGAAAATGTTACGGTGAAAAAGATGACAATGGGTAGCAATTGTAGATGGCACCAAAGATACAGATTCCATCTTTCTCTTCTTTATTTTTGTTGAGACTTGGTATTTTGTTCTACTTCATACCCCTTGGCATTTATGACATATCGAAAATTAAGTCTGAAATGGAAGTGAAGTTTCTAAAGGGAGAGCGAGAAAAGAGCAGCAACAAGAAACCATACAGTGATGCTGTAATTGCTTTTCCTGTGATATATTTTGACGAAGTTTTTAGTCGTTATTGAGGAATTGTCAGCTTTTATGCATTATTATAATTGCTAAAATATTTAATTATTGCAGTGACTTCACCGATACCTCCCAGCGAACAGTATGTTAATCAGAGCTCTCCGATTGCATTGGAAGGTAGCGTTCACAAGCTTCATTGCTTCTTCAGTGGATAGTAAGTTTTTGTTTATTTTGCAGTGAAATAGTATTTAGTATTATAAAAATTTCATAGATAAACGGTTTTGTATGGATATGTGAATATGAGGTTTATTTATTGATTTTAACTTTTTTTTTGTTCATTTTAGAACTAGTCATTTAAAATTATGAATATCATATCTGAGTGTTTATTCCAATTTCTCTTTAAATTTTTCTGATTTATCGTTAAGTCACTTCCAGTGAACAATTCGTGCTTTGATTGTTTGTTGTTGATCTCTGACAACAATTATTTATCTCAACGGTAAACATTACATCTTCAGAAATAGTTATAGAAAATGAAGAAAAATTGAGCTAAGAATTTTTTTCTGCAACAGTTGGCTTTATAAGCTTGCAAATTATTCATCGGATGAGAGAATAGAAGTGAGATGTATGGGGATAGTTGAGGAAGACTGTGTGAGTCGGAAGTTTTGGAGTATACTGCAATAATAAATGAAGTATATTTACGTATTGACATGAAGGCATTCATTCATACAACTTAATTTGGCTATCTAACCACAGCTAAAGTTTTTCATAGATTATTCCAAAATTTTATTATGCTAGTATATTGATTTTTTCGAAATTTAGAAAAGAAAATTATACGTGTAAGAATTTGTAAAAGGTTGCAATTTTTATTGCAATTATGAAAGTTTGAGGTATTTGTTGTAGATGTGAAAACATATGGCCTTGTTAAATTAAACTTTGATCTGAAATTTGTTAGTTTTTGAACTGTAATATATGAGGGATGAGAAGGACACAGGAAATACATTAATACAGTTTAAACGTTGTTGATTCCTTATTGATCTGCGTTTAGTTTTTGCTTTTTGTTTTTTTCTGTACTTATCCCATTTTATTTTAGATTATTTATTTCTCATATGTCGAATTTCTAATACACAGCATTTCATTAATGGCTAGTGATGGATGTATAAATTAGGCTTCTTAATTAGAGTGTAGCAAGCATTCATCTTTCTTTCGTCTTTGTCTTTTTTTTTCTCATATTACGAACGATGAAGAATGAAAATTGAATTTCAAAAATTGAACTTAAAAAAAAATTTTTTTAAAAGCTTAGTTAAAACGCAGCCATCTTTTTTTGTCCTTCTTTCCCCTCCATAGACAACAAAACTTTCGAGTAGTCGATTTAAAACCATAATTTATTCTCGTTTTTTTGCCAAAAAAAATTTGTATTTAATTGCGAGACGGCATATTTGTATACAATTTTTATAGGGACTAATTTTTTCTCAGTTTTTAACGAAATGTTAAAAATATGGTTTGAAACTTTTCGAGAATTTACTTTTTATTCTTGAAAAAAGATGCCAGAAATTAATCTGATGTTTGAAAAGGAAAGAGTAAAAGCAAGATGTTTTTATTTTATAATTTTCCGACATTTTTTTTTGTTCAAGGAATTTCACTCACAGTTTTTTAAATTAGACATTTTAATTAATAACTGTCCCCTTATGTTTTTTACATTTTCGGAAAGTATATTATTATTTCATATAGATTATGATTTCAAGAGATTATTTATGGAGTTGGCTTTTTTTATGCAGTCTTACTGAATGGAGTTGTTTTTTTTTTCCTTTTAGTGTTCTACGAATTTGTGTAGTTTTTGTGGATATTATTGGAATTAATTCAGAATGTGTACATGTGTTAAGAAAGATTCTCAGAGAAGAAAGCCTTTTTTCATTTGACGATTTCAAAAGATTTGTTGATTTTTGAAATAATTTTAGTCCGGAACCAAAACCTGTATGGCGATACAATGGTATTGATATTTCGGAGGATGATTCACGTTACACCTATGAAGCATATGGAAAAACATTGGTTTTCAATGTTAGCGCAGAAGCAGAAGGCTTATATGAATGCATTTTTAAAGCTCATCCGAATTTGGATCGCAGATTCGACGTTGTTGTTGAAGGTGCATTCAAATTTATGGAGTGATTTTGAAATTTATCAACACTGAATAGATTGATATTAAGTTATCTATTTATTTCTATCAAATATGATTAAGATTTTATGAGGATAGAACACTTATAAAAACGGATTCTTAGGACACTGTTTTCAATTGTTAATGCAGGATATTCCTGAAGAAAAGGTCGAGATGATGGGATTTTTATGTAAATCGTTCCCATGTTCTTGTCAGTTTTTACTTCTTGCAGCCGCACCTTATTGGATGACAGGCCCACCGCCAAACAAGCGAACAAGCGAAGGAGAGGACGTTACCTTTGATTGTAGCGCACTTGGAAAGCCAATCCCTTCGATTTCATTTTTCAAAAATGGTGTTGGTTAGTCTTTTTTAGGGAAATCGTTTCCTTTAAAGGTTATATATTTTCTTTCTGATGCTGTCGATATAATTGTTGAGATTCTTCAATTATCAGCAAGGTCCGCAAATTTACGATGTATTTATTGTTAAGCTTTCCCAAAGTTTCCTCCTTTAGTGCTTAAATTATCAGCAATGTAATCAGTTTATCTTTTGCAATGCCTTCCTAATGTATGCGTCTGAATAATTTTTATGCTTAGAGATGAAACAAAGGGATGATGATGTCAACAGAAATTGGGAAATAACAGGAAGCGTCCTTACATTGAGGAATGTTAAAAAAGGTGTTGCTGGCAGTGGTGATAATGCTGTTTACCAGTGCAAAGCGGAAAACAAGCATGGATATTTATGGGCCAATTTCTACCTCAATCTTCTCGGTAGTTGATGTCGTATATTTTTTTTTTCAAAAAAAAAAACGAGAACGACTTAAAATTCTTGTAAAACTATTAAACCAAAACTTCTGTGATCAAATCTTAATTTTTTATACCCTAAAAGATTAAAAACTTATTAGTTGGTAGAGGATCTAGGTTCTTCTATTCAATGATATTTATTTCTATTCCATTACTTAGCAGTTTTCTAACGGGATTTAATCTCCTAATTTTTTTTAGCTTTCAAACCAGAACTTCTTTCTGACCCGGGTGAAATTGAGGCTGTAGTTGGTCAGAATGTAACACTGGCATGTAAATTTTTTGCTTCACCAAACGTTAACATTACATGGGACAGCGCTGTGTTGCATGGTTTGCGACATCACGTCGTGCCAGCGGATGCTGATGGAGAAGGAAAACTTGTTATTGATGGTTTGTCATTTTTCGAATCTTCTTTCTAATACTTTATTTTTCCGTTACTTGAAAATCTGCGAAATCTTCCTTGTATTTTATTTGCTTTAATATTGTTGTCTAGGAAAAAATTAAGCAAGCAAAGCCTAATTCTTTATTATCCCTTAGCGAATGGAAAGATTGCGGAGTTTTATTGTTATGGACACCTTTTGATTTTATACTTGCAGTAGGTATTAGAATTTAAATTGTTGAAGTTTATTGTAGCGGTTGGTCGAGATGCGGAAGGTGAATATACATGCATTGGGACGAACAAACATGGTACAGCGAAAGGAACAGCACATATAATTATACGCGGTTAGAAACACATTTCTTTTAAAATATCTGATTATTTCCAAGAAAACGGCAGGATGCTGCTATTAGAGGATAATTTGAACAGTCTTGGATTATTAGCCTAATACATTTGAGAGAATTTAGATGCTGCTAATAAGGAAATATTATCTGTGTGAGAGAGCAAAAGTTGCTGAAAAGAGTGAAATGTAAAAAATTTTTAGTTTCATTTCTAATAAGCGCTTATTACGTCAAAACTAGTACTAAGTTTACTGCGAATGATAAAGAGCTGATGGTGATCTCTTTTGCAATTGTAATACACAAGCGCGAAAGATATCATGCGAAAGGAGACATCAATTCTATATTCTTCAGTGGAAGAAAGTGAATTTTTTTTAGAAGCGACACGACTGGAACCATTTGAAAGGCCTTTAGAAAAGGTTTTGGCTGGTCAACGACTTGAACTGCCATGCAAGGCTGAACATGATGAAAACCTCGAAGTTACGTACGAATGGCTTGTTAATGGAAAGGTAATGAGAACAGAGTTAATGGTTATAATATTAATTTAAATCTTCCATGTTAGTTGCACCATTATTGAGTATCCTACACATATTTGTTCGGATAAAAAAATTAAAGGGAGAGAGTTTCTTCGGGTATTTGATGAAAAATGATTGACATTGAAACGGAATGTACAGCTAATATTGGATTTACATAAGTATTGTCAAGTATTCTGAATTAATCATAACTTAACGTAATAATCCCATTAATTAAGGAAGTTAGTAAACGGAAATAAAAGTTGGTAGTAATTTTGCATAGCTAGCTAATTTTTCCGCTATCATTTTTCCGGTTCTTCACATATCCTGTAAAAAAGTGTTATTATAGCCGTTATTCGAGCAGTATATCCAATCTGGTCATTATCTCATTACCAACAAAAATTCACTAATTATTACAAACCCGGCAAGATATGATGCTGCGATCTATACGTGCATCGCTAAGACAGCATTAGATTCAGCGGAGAAGTCAGTTCAAGTCGGAGTTGATGGTACGTGTAAATGAATTATCACAAAAGTTTACCGAATAGCTAACAATGCAGAAGTGTGATATACATTTTTTGGAAAGCAGTACAGAAGTGTGATACTCTAGAAGTTGCAAGCAGGTTGAGAGGGCATCACCAAATATAAGCCTTCGGAAAGCAAACTATTCAAGAGTTGAGCTGGTTTTAGTGTTTTAGTCTACCAGACTCTGTAGTTATATTTGACGTACGAAAAGATCCGACCACCGATGTAATGAACAGATAAATGATAAAATGTGTTATCCTTGTAAATATGAATTCTTAAAAAGCTCCTTGGAAAAAACTGAAAAGTTATACAAGTTTGTTTTAAAAAGAAAATATATGATTACGATTTCAACCATAGTTTAAAGAACACAACTAATATTATTGTCTTATTTTGATGTTTTTTCGAGTAGCCTTTTTCATATGATATGTATTTTGAAAAAAATCTTTTTTGATTTTAGATGTTCCAAATCCAGTTCATATGGCATTTCTTACGAAATGTGACGATACTGCCCAAATAGCATCTATCAATTTTGAATACATGGAGGATATTGATTTCAGTGCTCCAATAAAAGAAATCTGGTATATATTATAGTTAGAATTTCAAAAATTCAAATTACGGCTTAAATAAAACTTTTTTGCTCACATAACTTCTGTTCGTATTACTGTTCCCACTTAACTCTTTTTCAAAAATTTTAGGGCGCAATATCAAATCGATGAAGAAACTGATGGTGTGGTTTGGCTAACACATCCTCATCCCGCCCTGGCTGATTCCTTGCAAACAATAGATGATAACCAACGTACAGTAAAAGGTACGATTGACGTATCACTTCGGCCATTCGGCAAGGTGTGTTGTTTTCTTAAATCAGCTTATTCCTAAAACTAATTCTAAGGTGAATTAGCAATTTACATATAGTGAAATTATTTAAGCACTAACAGTATGAGGAAAAAATAACGAAGACGAAATTCAAGCTGAACACTACGGCAAATTAAGTATTAGTTGCAACTCAGAAATAAGTGATGGAGATTAGATAAGTCGTTAGACGAGAAGTATAGTTACAATTGCTAAATATATGCTAAAAGAAAACTATATTTCCAAGTGATGACGTATTAAAAGTTATTGAAAGTACGCGTATTGAAAGTTAATTTCTCAATAGGCCAAAAATCAGTGTTCTAATCAATCAGAATATGATTTTAGTATCGTTTCCGTGTCTTTGGTCGCAATGATTTCGGTGACGGAGCACCAACAAATGTAAATGGTGGTTGTATAACACCGGCTCGAGTACCTGACAGAAATCCAGAAGGTGTTTCTGCAACTGGGACAAGACCAGAAAATTTAATTGTTTTCTGGAAGCCAATGCCAAGAGAAGATTGGAATGGGCGCAATTTCCATTATATTATTCGATATCGACCCGTGAGTTTTCTTCTCTAGAATTATACGTCGAAGGGTTGAACATGCAAATAATTAAAACTTGCGCCTAATATTTATATGAGAAAGTTTGCACTACTTACAAACTACGTTCCTAAGACTGTTCAGGCTGGATCGGATGCTGAATGGAAGGAAGAGATAGTAGAAGATCCGTACAGTGATCGCCATACCATTGAATTATCAGTCGAAGAGCCTTTCCGACCATATGAAGTTCAGGTGAATATTCCAAATTTTCTCAGTTATGAAACTCATAGATGCAAATATGTAAGAAGGGATTCGGAAATGATAATAAATGGTGAAAATTATTTGGCTTTACAGGTTCGTGCTGCAAATGAGAATGGAACATCTAATGTTTCACCGCAGTCAGTAGAAGGAAGAACAGGTGAAGGTGATCCCGGTTTTACACCAACTGGATTCAAACTCATCACGGCGGATTCAACATCGGCAAGCTTCGAATGGGACCCAATTGATCCACAACAAGTGCAAGGAAACTTCACTGGAATAAAGGTTATTTATTTCATTATCTGGACTTCAGTTCTTTTATTTTGTCGGAATTATAGTCTGAAATTCTGTTCATAAAAGAGGCATTACAGATTACTTTTTGGCCTGAAGAAGATGAGGATGAAAACGATGGTGAGTTGGAAGGGGAGGATATTTCACGATTAAAGAGACATTCAAAGGTATGTTTGTTTGCATTATCCTTCCTTATTTAAATTCTTTGATTTCTGTATTTTACAGTGATAATTTTTATGATATTGAATTGCAAAAGTCAGTTCGAACGCAGACTTGTTTTTCTTCTTGCTATAGCTGCGACGATGGAAGCGTGAAATTTCAACTTCACAAACGAGCGTGTATGGTGATAGGCGCACCGTTGTCTTTGCACCGGATAAAAAAAGTGCCACAGTATTTGGCCTACGACCGAACAGTGTTAATTATGCACAAATTGCGGTGATGAATGGGCAAAATGATGGCACACCAACTGATCCGATTTCATTCCGAACGAAAGAAGGAGGTGGATTTATAACTATGCAGAAAATGCTTAATATATTTCTTGTGATCATTCCATCTCTCCTTTTATCTCTTATCGAAGTTTAAATAGGTAACTTGAGGAAGTTATTTGATGATTCAGGATGTTGATTAGAAAAAGTGTAGTTTTTATAGAATTCGTAAACTAGAATACATATGTAGGTAATAATATCCGCTTTATTGCATGCCCGTGTCGAAACGTAGTCACACATTACATTTTTGTAAGCTGTGGTTGTTGAAGAAACATATTTTGAATTTTATTTGTAAAATATTTTATAGTCCCAACTCCGGTACGAAATTTGGAAGCATATCCTATGAATACGCGTGATGAGCAAGAAAGTGCTGTTGTTACTCTACGATGGGATCAGCCACGACATTACAACGGTCGTTTAACCGAATATTCGGTTGAAATATGCGCTGTAAATCCAGATGGTACTATGGAACAAAGAGGAAGTTGCCCAATCAGGTTATTTTTGGAGTTTTTTTACAATTTTCAGTTGATATGTGAAATGATCATGCATTGTGAAAGACATTTATTGTGAAAAATGTTTAAGAAAAACGAAACCGAAAGAACGATTCCTAAGGATATCGAATTTGGAAAACGACAGCAAATATCGATTTATTGTTTATGGAAATACAAATGCTGGTCGGGGCGATCCGAATTCGAAGGATGTTAAGACTTTACCTGAGGATGTAAAGTTGTTTCGTAAGTTTTTCTATTTGAAATCATGAATAAGTTGTTGTAGGGAAATTGAATATTTGACGACGAACGATGATGGAAAATGGTAATAACATATAAGTTTTTGACCTGTTATATTGGGAGGTTATGCAGTTAATCGTACTCCCTTATGATTTCAAAGATTAGCAGATTGTCAAGACTTGAGTTTGATAGAGAGCAACATGAGAAGGAAATGAAAGAAATTATGGTAGAGTGTGTAATTAAATTATTTTTTTGAATTTCTGAGCCGAAGTTTCCTTCGAAATTTCGTATTTTCCACATTCATAAAAAAAAGGAATTCTGACTACTTGTCGGATGGGATTCTATTATAGTGCAACATGAACAAACTTTTGAAAATAGGAAAAAAACTGAGATATGTGCAGAATACGGGGAAAACAAGAATAAAGGTGAACTTCAATGTAAATTTTTGTGAAATAGAGAAAGCCGTTTTCGAAATATATGCAGAAAACAAAAAACAGCTGCATTATTTGTTGGTTTTTCCTACTCCTGATATCAAATTCGATTGTTTAAAAGTATTCTCTACAAACCGTTCAGAAATTTTCCTTAGGCAATTTTAAAAAGCAGCAAAATACATTTTGAACTGTTGGCAATGGCCAAACTATTTCGAACGTGGTGTTCAAAATTGCCTAAAACCGAACGAAACTGACCGCTGTTATTTAAGAATGCGGATCACGGTGTCATCCGACAGTCGTGTTATCGCATCAGATGTGATGCACTCAATGATTGGCACTTTTTTTAACCGAAGGAATTTAAAGTTTCCATAGACTTTAAAAAATTTTAAGTTAACCAGTTATTATAGTCAGTATGTTAGATTTTTGTATAGAATCTCCTCTATTCTATAGGCAATACGTCTTTGTCTACATCGTTTGGTTGCTCTTTTAATTTATCTAGTTGGTAAATAATGATTAATAGATTAAATCATTTTAATTCTTCGATGGATTTTTTCATGGAGAACGTTGTTATTAATTAACGGAATATATAAATGTTAATTACTTAAGCTTAAAGCATGAAATAGAAATGGAGGAGAATGGAGATGGAGAGGGAGGAAAGAGGGAAATAAGTAGAGGTGGGAGGATGAGGCCAAGGTTATTGTCCCTGATAGTTAATAAAATAATGAGGGAATATGTTTAACCACATCTGGTCTCTCTCCAAATAAACTAAATGAGGAAGGAAGTATTATAAGAACGGTGAGAGGTGAGAACAGTCATTTGAGGGAAAGTGTGATTTCTAATTTAAATAACATAGCTATAAAGGAAGAGAGTAGACGAGAATGAGTGTATGGTATTATAAGATGTAATGCTTTCAGAAATAATTGAATATAGAAGGAGGAAATACTTGGACTAAAATTAGTATAGAGGAGAGTGTATTTGAAAATTATAAAAGATAGAAAGGGAGGGAGAGGAAGGTTGGATGAATGATGTATAGAAGAGGCTAGTAATTTTAATAATAGAATGGAATCGCAATCATCAAAAGAGGAGTTTCTATTGATGTTATTGTTGTTTTTGATGTTTCGATTAGAGGTATTAGGCAGTCAGTTAATTGTAGCACCATCAAAATATTCTTTTAATGATAGAGCTTTGAAAAGGAAAAGAAAGATCGATAGTAGTAGGGCAACCCATTAACAGATATCGAAATGTAAATATATACCTCTTGCCAATAGTCTGTCATCCGTCGTCTTTTCTCCCATTTTCGATAACTTCTTCAGAATATATATCAGAATGGTGAAACTGCACTGCTGATTTCAACCTTGTTTGGTCTGATGTGTTGTCATAA